AGAGCCTACACCTGCTCGACACTGGACTAGAGACTACACAGCAGTCTTTTTCCCACGAGTCCATCAGTAGTCTGGGCCTTGCCACACTCCATACAAGAGGAGATTTAGCTGCGGGTGAGGGACTCTACATCATGTGCTCACAGGACAATTCAGGGTGGAAGGAAGTTCAGGTGGGCTTCAGTTCAATGCCCAGCTCCAAGCAGGGCCAGCTCTGGGGTCAGGCCAGGTTGTTCAGTGAATGTCAGTATCCACAGAGAGAGTTTTCAAATGGCCCAGGAACCAGGCCACCATTGCAGAAATGGAGATGAGGCATTTGACCAGCTCTGTGAGCACGGCTAAGAGTGTGCTATGTGTCCTAGGAATCCTGGAAACATCCACTTTTTTAGAGGTGTGGGTTCTTTCTGTAAGTTTCATTGCACATCTCCAGACTATGAGGTGCTTTAGGCTGGAAACGGAATGGATGGAAAGCCTCTGACTTGGGTACTGGCCACCCAAATGCTAAAAGATTTGGTAAAAGAGAGGGAGGTGAAGGGATCTCAGAATTTCAGGGTTCCCGTGCAAGATTCAAAGAGCTTCAAAGAAGGATCTGAGGATAACACTTTTGGACTAGAATACACTGTAGAGCATTTGAAATGTGATGGCTCTGCTCCCTCATTTCAATCACTGGCACCCAGAAACCTCAACTTTTCTTTCCTTTGCTCTCAAAACCTGACCAAGTGATGAGAAGAAATGTAGCGAAAAGACCCTAGGGCTCTGTGAGTCAGGTGGGGTCTGGTCCTAGAGAATCTAGGCTTCAGTGGTTTCCTGAGCCCACAGAAAGAGATTCAGGTGAAGGACCCAGGTGATGCTGGTCAGGGCCATGAAGGTCTATGGAGACTCTCACGACTCTGACACTGCCTGCATGGGATCTTACCTCTTAGTGCCTGCACTGTGCCAGATTCTCATCCTCTGATGTCTTTTGACTGCTCTCTTCTACTTTTTTCCCCCATGTCCACGAGGATCTGGGCCACCACAATTTCATGGTCACTACAGCCAAGGCTGTCACTGGTCTTCATGTCCCTGACAAGGTCTTCCTCATTTGGGAGTACCAGATCCAGGTGAGCAGAAGACTGGGTGGCCCATTTTGAAACTTGTACACACACAAGATGCCTTCTAACCTGGTATGTGTCCCATAGAGACCGTCCATATATCTGAGCTGCCCTTACATCACACAAGGCATCCTCCACTTCTCATCTTCCCTCTGGGTCTCTCCTAGAGATGCTGTATCTACCATAAACCCCCTGGGGCCTGTCCTTCTCCACATCAGCTCTCATTCCACTGCTGTCACAGCTCTGTCATGACACATGGGGCTCTGCTCTCCATGACCCAAGCTGTGGCCTTTGGTTCCCATTTCATCTACATCACCTCGGATGTGATACCAGGGCCCTAGGTTGACTTGTCCCTTGGAAACCTGGTACCCTGGTACATGGTATCCCTTGTGTAGAAATGCTTTGCTTCCCAGCAGAGTCGTGGTGGAGGGGATGGCAGGTGATAACATAAGGATGAGTGAGGTTCCCAAAATGAGATCAAAAGCTGCTATCCTCAAGGTCAGAGAAAAACAGGCCTGGGCTGTGCAGCCCTGGCAGGAGAGGGGTTTGCTGTCCCAGGTGACTCAGCAACATGCGGGCAGTGACAGAGGTGAAGCTGATCTCCAAGAAGGACAAGCTGCTGCTGCTGCTGCTGAGAAAGGCCACAGGGGAGAAAAGTCCATGATCCAATGACACTGAGGCGATCATGTTGGAGGAAACCTGGGCAGAGAGCAGCTCTGCATACAAGAACCTAGGGGTCCCACAGGACATTAAATTCAGCATTAGCCAGCAGTGCATCCTCACAGCAAAGACCAACAGACTGCTGGGCTGCATCAGGAAAAGCACTGCTGGCAGATACAGGGAGGCGACACTTCACCTCTATTCAGCACTGCTGAGACCACAGCTGGAGTGCTGAGTCTGTTGATGGGGTGGCAGATATGAGGAGAAAAACTTATCAAAGTAGTTGCAGATAAGCAGGCACTTCTTTATTGACAGTGCTTGAGAACACAGAGGATCGCTCCTCTAATTGTGCTCCAAAATCCATACATTTTCACAGCTCAGTTATACATCTTTAACAAAGTGATTTCACAAGATTATACAAGTATGCCTAAAATGTCCGCTTTTTAATTTGCCCTTTACCACGATTGGTTCCCCATTATCACATTATCCCATACAAGGTATTAATCTACTATAAAGCCCACCTCCACCTAATTTCTTGGCATGCAAAAGCGAGAAAAGTTAAGTTATTACCTAACCTTTGCCTTATCACATATATCCTAGGTTTGGTATGTACCTAAGAGACCACAGAACCAGGGGTACAGCTTCTCCTCTTGTACCCGGAATACCATCAACATTCTTTTACCATCCCAGATGCTCCTCTCTCCTGCGGCACTCCCTGGTACATACCTTCTAAGCACTCATGCACATATGTTCTCAACTTTAACTTTGCAGTTTAAATGAATATCTACTATAACTACCTTTACTACTTTAATCAATAAAACTGTTCTTTTCGCTACAACAAGTCCAGTGTTCAGCTTCCCAGTACAAGAAAGTTGTTGACCTAGTAAAGCAAGACCAGAAAAGGGCCACTAAGCTGGTTTAGGAACTGGAGCATCTTGCATAGGAGGAATAGCTGAAAGATGTGGGACTGTTCAGTCTGGAGAAGAAAAGGCTCAGAGTGATCATATTATGCATACAAAATTCTTCTACCGAGACCTTTCCAGCAAAGCCCAGTACCTTCCCAGTGCTCTCCACCTATCCCTGTCTTCTCAACCACCCAGCACTGTAGAGCAGCCCAGTCAGGGCTGGTCTCACCACAGTGTCCACCACAAGGTGCTGCAGAGCTTTGGGTATTCCGGCCATGGCCCCAACCCTCTGAGGGGCACAGCAGCTCCTGGTGGGCAGACAGGGATGTCAGCATCCCCATCAGCCCCAGGGATGGTGCTTCCCCAAGCCCATGAGAACACAGAGGCAAGAAACTGCCTCTCCTGAATTCATATTGTAGGTGATCCCCAACCCTGACTGAATTTGCCCCCTCCTCTGCTCCCACCATGAATTTGCCCCCTCCTCTGCCCCCACCAGCCCCACTCCTCAGGACACGACAGTGCTGGCCCTGGGGTTCCTCACGCAGCTCCTGCATCTCTCCAGTCTCCCCTTCCTGTGCCTGCTGGGTCCCCACTCAGTCCCATGGCACTGCAGAGTCCTTGTTCTGGATATGCTGATTCAGTGCTTTACTTTTGGTGGACTTTGGTGGGGTGTTTCACCTTCTGAATTCGTTCCAAATCCACGGCATGTGGTGAGTCTAAATCCTCTTCTCTCCTCACCCCTCCAAATGCATTTCCGAGAGTCTTATGTATGAGATCAGTTCTGTCATATGTGAAGAAACCTGAGGACATAATGAGGAGCTCATTGACCACCTTCCCTGCCACTAGACACAAAGAAGAGCGCTTTTAATTCCAGAACTTTCAGCCCAGTGGAACCCAATAGGAGCTAAAACCCCAAAACCACTTAAAACAAAAGGAGAAAATAATCTTTTGAAGACTAATTCAATGGACATTCCATTGGCAGCAACTTTGGAGGAGGAGCCCAACCTTCAGGCACTGAACCTGAAGGACCTCCTTTTAGTGATGAGTTGCTATCTGACAGGTCACACTGAGAGTATTGTGCAAGAGTCAGACACAAAAATGTCAAGCCTCAAGACAAGTCGTATAAATACAGAAAACTATCTATAAGCTGGATTATCACAAGAGGAAAAAGGAGACTTTTGGTCTAAGATGAACTTTCATCTATAATGTACAGAATATGGGAGGTGATTTACTATTGGTGAAACAGCATCCATTGGGCCAGTTTCCACAGGGCATCCTTGAGTTCCTGGTTCCTCATGCTGTAGATGAGGGGATTCACTGCTGGATTCATTGCTGGAAGCATCACTGAGTAGGGAACTGCCACCAGTGGATCTAGATATGAGGAGGAGGGCTTCAGGTGGGCAAACACTGCAGTGCTGACAAACAGGGAGACCACGGCCAGGTGAGGGAGGTGGTGGAAATGGCTTTGTGCTGGTCTGCACTGGGCAGGAGATGAAACAGAACTCCTACCAGGAATGACATGGAGGAGAACATTTGGTGCACTGGGTGTGACTGGGATAGAGTTAATTTTCTCCATAGCACCCCATGTAGTGCATGCAGTGGGTGGGGTGTTCAGCAAGGAGTTGTTCTCAGGTGCCAATGATTGAATTCTCTGATGAGCATCCATGACACTGCTGTGTGCCACCACCTTGCACACTTTAGCTGTTCACAAGTTTTTTCCTCCCTTTAGCACTTTCATGAGATCAACTTTGGAAGAAGACATAAACCTTCAGGCCCTGCGCTGAGAAGATCCTTTTCGATGGTGGAAATGCTGCTATGGAGGTTATCTCTGATGAAGTACACTTGGACCCCAGAGTCACACAAGGGCTAAGAAAGAGAGTGTGTAAGGGGAAAGAGAGCAGCTTTGGACAGACCAGGACCTGGTGCTCCCTGGCAGTGCTGCTGTGCCAGGACTGCTTTTCCTCTCTCCCACTGCACCAAGGTACCTCACCTGCAGCTTTACAAAGGACTCAGAGAAGGACATTAAGTCATAAAGTCACTACAGGATCCTTTATTTTGTTTGAATGCAGAGCACGGCTCCTCATTTACACAGTCATTGGGTCACAAAAAAAAGAGATGGAAAGTGAAAGAGAAGTGGGATGAATAAGGACACCTTTTGTGCACACCATTATTATAACAAAGAAAATGAAAAAGCAAACACACCAGAGCAACGCTGAGCCTATAATGAGTTACATGAAGAGTACAATGAGATATACAGACGAGAAACAGTTTATTGCTGATTAAAATGATCCATTCACAAGTTTCTTTAGGGTATCATTGATCTCCTTGTTCCTCAAGCTGTAGATGAGGGGGTTCACTGCTGGAGGCACCACTGAGTACAGCAATGACACCACCAGATTTAGAACTGGAAAGGAGATGAAGGGGGGCTTCAGGTAAGTAAATATGCCAGTGCTGACAGACAAGGAGACCACGGCCAGGTGAGGGAGGCACGTGGAAAAGGCTTTGTGCCGACCCTGCTCAGAGGGGATCCTCAGCACGACCTTGAAGATCTGTACATAGGACAGCACAATGAACACAAAACAGCCAGTTACTAAACAGATGCTGACCACAAGAAGCCCAACTTCCCTGAGGTAGGAGTGTGAACAGGAGACATTGAGGATCTGGGGGATTTCACAGAAGAACTGGTCCAGGACATTGCCTTGGCAGAGGGGTAGTGAAAATGTATTGGCAGTGTGCAGAAGAGAAAAGAAGAAACCACTGCCCCAGGCAGCTGCTGCCATGTGGACACAAGCTCTGCTGCCCAGGAGGGTCCCATAGTGCAGGGGTTTGCAGATGGCAACATAGCAGTCTTAGGTCATGACAGTGAGAAGATAATACTCTGATATAACAAAAGAGACAAACAGAAAGACCTGGGCAGTACAGCCCATGTAGGAGATCTCCCCGGTGTCCCAGAGAGAATTGGTCATGGCTTTGGGGACAGTGGTGGAGATGGTTCCCAGGTCAAGAAGAGAGAGGCTGAGGAGGAAGAAGTACATGGGGGTGTGGAGGCGGTGGACACAGGCTATGGCAGTGATGATGAGGCCATTTCCCAGGAGGGCAGCCAGGGAGATGGCCAGGAAGAGCCAGAAGTGCAAGAGCTGCAGCTCCCGTGTGTCTGCAAATGTCAGGAGAATAAATGTGGTGATGGAGCTGTCATTGGACATCTCCTTCCTTGGGTCACAGTGGCCTAGCTATGAGGAATGGGCAGTGAGAAGTGAGGAACAACTTATCTATGCAAAAGCTATCGTATTCCTCTCTCTTTTTATCTCTCTCTCTCTCTCTGTCACACACACACAGATACAACTGTCTTTCCATTCAGACCTTCTACAGCTCCTTCACTTGAGCTCTCTCTGGGGCCAGTTTTGGGTGCAATGGGCACCACGGCTAAGGGACTGTTCTATGCAGGAGTCTGTCCTGCTGTGCACAAGGAAGCAAAGAGGAACCAGGAGTGATCTCTGATTAAATCCACTCATTAAAGAACTTTTCAGGAAGCAGCCTGGACCTCACAGATTGCTGAATAGAGACAGTCCTTAACTCGGTGAAGTGGACTTGACTGTGGCAGGGAATGGTATGGAACAAGGGGTGGAATGTTATGGTTTAAGGGTTACCAGCCTGAAAAGGAAGGACAGGTGGTGTCTGTAGGACCCTGAAGGGTCACAGATCAGTGCTGTTCCCTCCCCTTTCCGGCCACAGTCTATAAGAAAACGAGGTTTTTGCAGGCTTTTCCTGGCTTTCCTGGGCTGCTTCCTGTCGCATCTCAGGATGGCTGGGCCTAGCTCCACGTGCTCAGCATCATCCACCACCACCCGCTCCCGGCACCACTGCGGTCCCTGGTGACAGTCACAGCAGTCGCAGCAGCCACGAGGCACTCCTCGGACATTTCTACTTGGGACTACTGGGATCAGGTTTTGTATATAATTATCCTTTGTCCCTTATTAATTCCCTTTTCCTTTCTCCTGTTGTTTTCATTAAACTTGTTACAGTCTTAACTTCCAACCTTGTGCGGAGCAATTTTATTATTATTATTATTATTCTCTGTATTCCCTTCTCTACCCCTGGGAGGGGTAGGGACAATAGAGACAAAAATCCAGCTGTCTCTCTCTCTGACCCTTAAACGAAGACACCAGTGCTGAGTACAGTGGGACAACCACATCTCTAGTCCTGCTGACCACACTATTCCTGATGCAGGCCAGGATGTCATTGGCCTTATTGGCCACCAATGCACACTGCTGGCTCATGTTCAGCCGATCAACAACTCCAGGTCCCTTTGTGCTGGGCAGCTCTCCAGTCACTTCTCCCCAAACCTGTAGCGCTGCATGGAGTTGTTGTGACCCAAGTGCAGGACTCAGCACTTGGCCTTTTTGAACCTCATACTTGATCTCAGCCCATCCATCTGACTTGTCCAAGTCCCTCAAAAGAGCCTTCCTACCCTCAAGCAGTTCAACACTCCCATCTAATTTGGTGTTGTCTGCAAACTTACTGAGGGAGCACTCAATCGCCTCTTCCAGGTCACTGATAAAGGTATTAAACAGGACTGGCCCCAAAACTGAGCCGTGGAGAAAGCCACTTGTGGCTGGGCACCAGCTGGGTTGAACTCCCTTTGGCACCCCAGGGCATGGCCATCCAGTGTTTGCCCATCAAAGCCTTGGGAAAGTAGTTTGTTCATGAGAATGCTGTGAGTCACAGTATCAGAGGCTTTACTGAAGTCCTGGTAAACAATACCCACAGGGTGTTTTCCCTCATTCACCAAGTGGCTCACCTTGTCACGGAAGCAGACAAGGTTCGTTAAGCAGGACCTGCCCTTCATGAGCCCATGTTGGCTGCACCTGATCATCTCGTTGTCCAGTAAATGGTGTGTAATGGCACTAAAGATGATTTATTCTATGACCTTCCCCAGCATCAAGTTCAGACTGGCAGGTCTGAAGTTCCCCTTCTTCCACCTCTTCCTGCAGATGGGCATTACATTTCCTCATCTCCAGTCCAATGGGACCTCAACACAAGAGGGACATGGATCTGTTGGAGTGGGTCCAGAGGAGGGCCACAAAAATGATCCGAGTGCTGGAGCACCTCTCCTGTGAAGACAGGCTGAGAGGGTTGCGATTGACCAGCCTGGAGAAGAGAAGGCTGTGGGGAGACCTTTTAGCGACCTTCCAGTACCTGAAGGGGGCATTCAAGAAAGCTGGAGTGGGACTGTTTACAACAAGAAAAGAATATGGAGAATTGCAGGGAACTACAGGTAAAGAAATAAAATGATGTGTTTAACAGAGTTGCAACATAATGTGGAAAATTAGAACAGCCATCATCTCAAAAACTCCAAAAGAGAGTACAAAACAAGAAATGCATGACCACCAGGGAAAGGATTAAAAGTGTAGAGTGTTCTTTTGTGGAGATATTAGGATAGTAAATAATAAGAGCTTGGGCAGGGGGATCCACAGTGGAACCAATGGATGTGGTCAGGCATTCTTTGGGGCACCAGCAAAGCAATTCTGATGTGAATAACTTGTGGGGCAAAGGAGAACCTCAGTGCTTTTCTGGAATTTGAGAAGATGAAGGGGAAGGAAGAATCATTCAGGCTAGAACAGATTTCAGGTCTGTAATGACCAAATTTCTTCTCAAAGCCGGTCCAGATAAGATGACTCAGGGCTTTACCGAAACACGTCCTGGCCACTTCCCAGCACAGAACCAGACCACGCTCTAAGAGGAACAACTTCCAGCAGTTGTATTTCTTCAAAAAGTTCAAAATTGTTCAAAAGTTTCTCCCTATATGTAGCCTTAAAAATCTCTTGTTTCAGCCCAGTGCCTCTTGCCCCTGTGTTTGGTACCATTGTTTAAGGCTGGCTCAGTCTTCCTGTGAACTGTCTAAGGTTTCTACATGTTTCCCCTGGCGCCCCTAAAGACCACATCTTCTCCCAGCTGATCAAGCCCAGGTCTCTAAGCCTCTTCCCACAGTACAAGTTTTCCAGCCCTGATCACCTTGGTAGTACTTCACTGAACTGGATCCAGATTTTCAAGGCCTCTCTGGCTTTGTGCTGTTTCAAAACCTGGGAAATGTCCTGGATATGTTGTAAGACATGCTGCCTTTCAAGTTCAGACTGAGTTTTGTTCTGAGTTACTGCTATGCTTGGAGGATGCTGTCAGTGAGGACCAGCTGTACCAAGCTCTGCCACCAGGCTTTGGCAATGATACTCTCAGTGTCAAAACTCTGTCTCCAACATCAATGGCTCCACATTATCCTGTCTGTGCCCCTGGCTGAGAGCAAAGCTGCACATTTGTCACTAAAGCTCTCATGCCGTGGCATCTCAAGCAAGTTTGTTCTTGACATATTGAATCCTGGTGCCAAGCACTCAGACCCCACGTGTGCAAAGGCTTTGATTCAAAGCAGAGACATGGCGTGGACAAAAGAATTCTGAATGTCTTTGTATTCCTTGGACTACTAAACCAAAACAAAATGTTTGAATTCAATGAACCGAAAACATTCCATCAACTTTGAGAAATTATGTCCTCTCTTCTCATGTTCTTGTCCTAAGGATAGGAGAAGAAGAGCTGATTCTAAAGCTCAACTTTTTTTCTAATGGAAGATATTTCACTGCTAGAAAAAGTGTCTCACCCCAGCTGAAGGAGGGGACATCAGCCATTACATCAGCCTTCAGCTGGCCCTGTGCTGCTGAGCTGGGCTGGGCTCCTGGGACACAGGGAGCTTATGGCAAGCGGGCAGCACTGCAGAGAGACAGCTCTGCACAGGAGTAGGGCTGGAGGCACTGCCTGCAGGCAGCGAGGGGACAGGAGTGAGGCAGAGAGAAGTTAAAGGCAGTCTATGGTGTGAGGACAGAAGAGAGATCACCTGTGGAAAAAAACTCACAGCTTTTGACATGGTAAGTTTCTGGCTGGAGGGCAGTGCAGCTGCAGTTCTGGAAAAATCTCATAAAGCTTGTTCTTCCCCAAAACTATGAGATCTTTCCGAGTTCTCTCAGAGTTTCTCTAGCATAGAGAAGAACAACATGCTCCAGAGCAGGGTTTCCCTACTGCACCATCAGAGGGACAGGGCATGATAGAGGTGTGCACATGGGTGTGCATCCAGGGGTGCCGGGGCTGTCCCTCAGAGCAGGGGCCCTGCACCCCAGGGGCTGTGTGCTGGGGCAGGGACTCTGCCGCCTGCCAGGGTCAGCACTCAGCCTGCCCAGGGAGCTCCCCATTGCAAGGTGGGGAGAAGGTGTGGGTGGAAGGAGCGACCATTGGCAGGACAGGGTCCTTCTGACGTGTAGAGTGTGTTGTGTGTGTCAGGGCTGCTCACAGTGGCATCTTACTTGTGGGCAGTTCCAAGGGGACTTTCAAGTAGATTTTCCTTAAAGGTAAGT